TTGGAAGGACAGCTGTCCTCCCTGCAAAACCTTTTGTGACAGGTAGTGCTGATGGAGGGCAATGAAGTCTTGTCTGCATTCCTGAGTAGGAATGGAGCCACTCCAGCATGGTGGGAATAATACAGTACACATCCTTTCACAGTTGGATATTTACAGAGAATATTCTTGTCGGGGCCACTGACTTCAAGATGTCTTGTGGTAGCTTAGCACCTCTGAGGTTCCTTGGTAGTGGATATTATACAATAAGCACCAGTACTCACTAAGAAATACTGTTACCCAGTGAAGTAAGGGATTAAGAAAAGAAAAATGCACTCGTGAAGATGTAAAGCAAAGAACAGAAGGAAGGAAAGAACATGGGGCTGTGCACGGGAAGGGAAGGAGTACGCCAGCAAGGTTCTGACCTTACCAATTTTTTACTCTTTGCTTAGTAGCTGAAGACAGAAATGTTCTCCAGATGCAAGGAATTACTAAGTTGTTCCTTCTTTTTGCAGCATTTCTCTCTCCTAGGAGGGAAGATCAATAGAAATAGGATAGCTTCTTAGGTTATCAGTCTGTGTACCCAAATTTTAAGTGATTTTTGTAGTAATAAGTCTCAAGTTTGGTTTATTTATACTAGGTCTTCTATAGCTCATTCTGGAGAGAGGTTGCAGCCCTCATACTCTGAAGAAATACAGTTCCTGTGAGGCCATAGGATTGCACCAATCTCCAAAATCTCATAAAGAGGAGGAGTTCTCTGTCCCTAGAGTTTGCAGTTAAATCTTGGACTCTGCAAGCTTTCAGCATGGGTGTGCCACATGTGCTGAGTTAGTTCTACTTTCTCAGATCCCATACAGGTGTGTGAATACTGGCTGCTCATGACCTTGGAAAGTCAAGCCTTTAGGCAGTAACAGAGATTACCAAAAAAGAAACAGAGGAAGGAAATAATGATTTGACAGTCTGACAGCAACACATCCCCTTTGGGTTTGTGTGGGGCTGAAGTGATCTGTGCATGCTGGTGGTTAGAAATGTGTTTGTGTTTGGATGTGCATGTAGCTATATTAAATGTGCATATATGCACTACCTACAATAAATAAGTATTATAAATAGTGTACATGTTCAAGGAAAGAGATGATTTTTAGAAGACAACATTTGGCAGCAGTTAAAAAAAAAAGGTGGTAGTGAAATACTTCTGATCTGGATGCAGCGATTACAGCTGTATCTGTCTACTCACCAGCTCCTTGTAAGTGCTATTGTAAAGTGTTACTGCAATTTCATTGACCCTACACAAAGCAGAAGGCTCTTCCATGCCCTCTGAGCAGGAAAACAGAGAGCTTTGAAGCCTCTGGTTTGAGGAAGATACTCCAAGTTAATTTTCTGTGTAAAGCATCAGCTGCTGAGAATCTAAATTTTGCAGCTAAACCCCACTAAAGTGGAGGAGAAAACAGAAGACAACTGAACTACTCAAGTGCCCTTCAGTTCTACTTTGCTACTTCTGCTCCCTGTTTTCTTAAACAAAGCCAGAAAAAGATACAAAGGGATTTGTGAAGTTAGGCATCCTGCACAAAAATTTAGTGTCACAGATTCTCCAGCTGAGGAGCAGAAAATTTGTATTAGAAATCCTTTCCGCTTTGGCTATGTCTATACTGTTACCAGAAACTTTAAGTCTCTAAATCCAGCATTGGCACCATAACTGTGCTGATGCAGAACTCAGCAAAACCTCTCTGGAAAGCTAACTGGGCAGCCAGCCTGCATCCAACTGCTGTGATCGTGGCCAGCTTGCTGCTGGTACCCCAACCAGCTGGGTTAAAGTTTGCTCTGGTGACTCAGTGAGAGCTGTGGTCTTCGCTCAGAAGTCCATCTATTCTCACCCAAGGAAGTCTCTCACCAGTTGACTTTTCCCAAAGAAACACTGCCAACTGCCTTACACAGGAAATTTTATAACCTTGAATATTTAATAAGAAGGGACGATTTAATTCTTCAGGCTGAAGCTGGTGATCTCCTCAGTAATGGGCTGTTAGACCCATTTTGTATTTTACAGTCTTGTCACATAAAGTCATTCCATCTTCTTGATGTGTGCTCCATGTTTGTATCTGCAAATATAAATGTGCCTGAACACTCCTACACGTAGAGTCCCTCCTTTGTAGGCATTAAAGGTCAGTTGTAAATGTTCTACAAGAACATGGCTGTGTTAAGAGCCACACCAGTTTGAACAGCTTGGTCTGTGTTTAAAAAGTGACAACTTGAGATTTAGTGGAATAACTCCTTCCTGGGTATCTTCTGGTGAAAGAAACTGCTTAAAGTCACCTCATTTCTTTCACATTTCGCTAGAATTGTTCTTTCATAGCTCTTGGCCATTATCAGTTATTCTAGATAAATGTTGTTCCACATCTCTTCCAACTTATCTACCACTTCACTTTTGTTTTACTTTATATTCAGTGGGGTTTTTTAAATTTTTCTTTCTTTCTTTCTTTCTTTCTTTCTTTCTTTCTTTCTTTCTTTCTTTCTTTCTTTAAATTTTTCTTTCTTTCTTTCTTTCTTTCTTTCTTTCTTTCTTTCTTTCTTTCTTTCTTTCTTTCTTTCTTTCTTTCTTTCTTTCTTTCACTGGTTATTTAGTGATTTATAAAAATGTAGAGCCCTGGAGCAGGCCAGCATCTCTTAGAGACTCATCTCTAAATTTTCACAAACACGCTTCAGATACCAGTAAACTGCAATCCTTTCTTCCATGGGTATTTGCAGACATTAATGAATTAAGTCTCACAGTCAGTCCCATATGCTTGAGACATCTTATTGCTTATGTGGCTAGGCATCTGAGCTAGCAGTGGATTTAAGTAAAATAGTTGGATGTGTAACCCTGGTTTGCTATCACTGCCATGTGTCTTGTCTGCAGAAGAACTCCATCTCTTAACCTCTTTTCAGATGGAAAAAGATATTTTGTCCAGCAGCCAAAGGGAAATGCAAGCATCCTGGTGGAAAACAAGCTGTTTCAAAACCCTGGCTGCAAGCTACCCACACATCACAGTTGTCAGCCAGGCTGCACATGCATAGTTACAGGGAATAAAATAGAGAGGACCTTCTGTTCCTATTCAGAAAGGTCTCTACCCATTCACCTACACCAAAGGATCGTCATCAGCTGCCAGTATTAATTTGTTCTCCTGTGTGGGTTTCCAGCCAAAGGAGGGTAAAATAAGTCTAATTCTATCCAGCAGGAGCACTTGCAATGCAAATGCTAGCCCATATATTACAAAGCATTAATGCGACCCACTTCTAAATTACTTGGGGCAATTTCTGATTTTATTTATTCCTCATTTTCTTTAATTAACTGCTGGGAAGAGAAGCTGAAATATCAGTATGGGGAAAGTCAAATATGAGAAATAAAGCCCATTTTTATTTTGAGACTGTGCTTCCCTTTTAATAGCAGTTTTTATTTAAAGAGGAGCCTGGAATAATCCAGTTTAAGCAAAGAGCTCTGCTGAAGCCAAACTGTGTGTGGGTGTGCTCTTGTCAGGGCTCCCAGAGGAGGAGGGCAGGAAAGGCTGTTAGTCAGACCTCGGATATTGCAGGAGATGTTCATTATTCAGTAGCTGGCATTTTTCCTTGGCACACCAGTACAGAGCCACTACTCTGGTGTACTGGGAGAGGGTGCATCCTATTGGGAAAACCCTCAGATAACCTGAGTTCCTGCTCTTTTGTTGTCGTAAAAGAAAATCCCAAGGATATGTGGCTGTAAGAAGTGCCCACTGCAAGGGCCTAGCAGGTGGGTTAGGAACGAGTCTCTGCACCTCTGTCTCTTCTTGTCGCTCCACCTTGTGCCGTCTTTGCGGCAGGTCCCAGGCTGGGGTCTGGTGGTGGTGTTTTGTGCTACCTGCAGAGGATTGTCTTGTGTAGGGTGGTCCCACCTCATGTTTTTTGGACCCATGCTTGAAGCCACCAACAGCCTCCAGGCATAGCTCCTGCAGAGGAACAGTCAGTATGCGTCATAGCTTATTACAACGCGTGCAGAGAATTACCCACGTGCTCCATTTTCTCACAGTGAATAGTCTCTTGATGCTGTGGGTTTCTCAGAGTTCAGAAGGTCAAGCAGAAGTATAAATCTTTGCATTATGTCAGCTTACTTTTATAATCTGTTTCAATATTTTTTTTCTCAGTATATTGCTCTTTAAAATTTCTATGGCAACAATGTAGCTAAGAATATGTTAAATAAAAGTAATTTAGGTATTAAAGGCAGGTGATTATGTTCCCTAGAAAAAGAATCAAATAAATTGATGATTTGTGCTTGAAACAGCAGGTGAGACTAACAAAGAGGATTAGGTGCAATTCTGTTTCCATTGGTGGATTTGAATGTGCAAGCATCATCTTCCTTTGTTACATATCCCAGGATTTGATTTTTAATTATTTGGCTTGGAGATAATAAATAATTGTATGTTATTTATAGAAAACTGCATATTCCCAAGTTCTGCACTGTGAAATCTGTATCTGTACTGGTTTGTAGTGAGCACTAGAACACTAATGATTAATTATATTCAGGAATATTAATTAAATTTCATATGATGATAAATAAATTAGAACTGAATATAGCATTTGTTTTAAAATAAAAAATTGTGTAGTTAGATATTTATTTCCTAGATCTATGAGAATTACTGTAGACAATAAAGAGGACATGAAAACTCGGAGCCTGTATACGTATTGATTGGTATGTTCAGGATGCGTTTTAGACATTTACCTTCTGCTTCCCCTCTCCAAGGAGATCCTCCCCTGTTCAATTCTTTCCATTGATTTTGAGTCCGCCTGCTCAGCAGCTGAAAACGGTGAAGCTGGTGGGGAGATTGCAAGAACAGCAATCAATTGCAAATACATTTTATGATACTCTGCTTCCATATTTTAAAGGAGAAAATTTATTAGTGCCAGCAGGTCTCTGATTTTCCCTTTTAAACGTATCAATCCAACCAAGAGTGATTTGCAAACTCCTGGATGTTTTCATTTTCCCTGAAGTGACCCCTTTTTTGTTTCCTCTCTCCCTGCAGACAGTGAAATCATTCCTCCCGACTGCCTGCGGCCCCGCTCCTTCACCGCCATCCGCCGGCCCTCGCTGCGGCGAGAGACCGAGGACACACGCCTCTCGGTCAGCCTCTGCGACCTCAACCTGCAGGAGGAGACCTTCCATGTGACAGCCACCACGTGTCCCATCCCGCAGAACTCCCTCAACTCCCAGCACTCCCACCTCCTCCCCTCGCAGCTGGAGAGTGACCTCCGCTTCCACCACCTCCGGGGACCCCACGTCAAAATCCTTGATGACCAAACCGTGGCCCGTCTGGAGCATGCCCGGGAGGAGAGGACTTTGGTTTTCACCAGCAGACCACTTCGGATCAACGAAACCATTTTCGTCAAAATCAACAAGTCTAATGCCGTACGCACAGGGACACTGTCCTATGGGGTGACGTCCTGCGACCCCAGCATCTTGCGTCCCAGTGACCTCCCGTATAACCCCGAGTCTTTGGTTGATCGAAAGGAGTTCTGGGCCATCTGCCGAGTTGTGGTGCCCCTCCAGAGTGGAGACATCTTGGGATTTATGGTCAATTCGGATGGTGAGCTGCACTTGAGTCACAACGGTGCTGGCACTGGCATGCAGGTCTGCGTGGACTGTTCCCAGCCCCTGTGGATGTTCTTCGTTTTACATGGCACGGTCACGCAAATTCGATTGTTGGGTATGTCTGACCCCCCTTTTTCAAACCTCACACACAAAAGAGCAAGGTGGGATGCATCACAGGGGAAGGGTGGAGGGAATGGCTCCCTCCCTGGTCTAGGATCAGGTACCAATTTTGTTTTTATAAAAGGAAAAAAAAAATACAAAGGCACATATGTAGCACGTGGATATGAGTTACAATAATTACTTCTTTGTACTTCTCTAGCATCCTTCACTTGATGTTCTCAAAGCTCTTTTCAGGTAATGAATTAAGCCTCAGAGAGCTCCATTAAAGTACAGATGAGTCACCACTGACCTAGGAGAAGGAAGGAAGGGGGTTGAGAGGTCCTTTGGGCTCATGTAGGGCATAGGCAGCAGGAACAATGAGATCTGATTCCCTTTTCTGTGTGTTAGCTATCTAGCATGACCAGTTCCTCAAAAGAGCAGACTCTTTGTTTTCCCCAGGCTTGTATGTGAGAGGCAGGCTGGCAAGCGGAGAGGAAGCCCTGTACCTCATGATCCCAGTGGTGCACAGAGTGTGGCACTGACCAGCTCAACAGGAGAGGGGTTTCCTTGTCCTCCAAACTTATTTAAGGGAGTTAATAAGCTCATACAGGTTGATGGACTTCTGAAGAGCTGACAACCACAAATAGCCACAGCCAGTGAGCATGTCACCAGCTTTCCAGGTTAGCAAAACTCTTTATCACAGCGAGAAATCATGCATGCAAAAATACAGAAAACAGAAAAATGGCACATCTCTTCTAGCTGTTGTTTAGTCTGGAGAAAAGGAGGCTGAAGGGAGACTTTATTGCTCCCTACAACTACTTGAAAGGAGGTTGTAAGTGAGGTGGGTCTCGGTCTCTTCTCCCAAGTAACAAGTGATAGGACAAGAGGAAAAGACCTCAAGTTGTGCCAGGGGATATTTAGATTGGCTATTAGGAAAAATTTCTTCACCAAAAGGGCTGTCAAGCATTGGAACAGGCTGCCCAGGGGAGTGGTGGAGTCTCCATCCCTGGAGGTATTTAAAAGATGTGTAGATGTGGCACTTTGGGACATGGTTTAGTCAGGGACTTGGCACTCTTTATTAATGATTGGACTTGATGTTCTTAAAGGTCTTCTCCAACTTAAATGATTCTATGATTCTATTAAAATGCCTCTCTTACCCAACAAGAAAAAAAAAAGCCAACAACCAAAAGCCAACAAACATCTCCTTTTTTAGGATTTATAGACAGTCTTTGAAGATAAATTGTGGTGAACACTCACATCTCTCTGCAGGGTCCAGTTCACCTTAATCACAGTCTGAAGTGCCCTATATAATTTGCTTAACGTTGACCACAGGCCTGTGCTGTGAGTGTTTTGTGGCTGTTAAAAGTTCACAGATGACAAATGTAAAACTGCAATTTATTTCCAGGAGCCCAAGACTCAATCCCTGATAATTCAGCCTGATTACATTTGTTGTGTGTACTGTACATAATCCATGGCTAGCTCTGCTCTCCACCAACATGTCATTGTGATAATGGTAGGTGAAGTCAAACAGATCCCAGTAAAGTAAGAGATTAAATTAAATATGTTAGAAGGAAAACATCCTCAGGTACTTGAGCTGCTAAAACTAAGTCATCGACCACTGCTTCCTTTCATATGAGATCACTAATTCTGTCAGTTTTTGCACAAAGCAAATAGTCTATCTGCAGTAGGTCCTGAAACAGAGAAGAGAGAATGTGCCTTACCAGAGGGACAGAAGTACGTCCTTTTGCAGAATTCCACAGAACATGGACTTGAATGAAGACTTCTGCATCCTGGGCAAACCTCCTGCTAAGCAAATAATTTCCTAGTCCCTGTGTATTTCCTCCCTACCTGCTCACAAGTTCAGCCCAAACCAGTACACTCCTAGGGCATGTTTTAGATAAATCTGTGTTTAGATCCACGAAATGAAATCTGCTGAGTTGTAAACGTCCTCACTACCTGTATTTGTGACCACACAACAGACTTTTCTGGCCTCTGGAGAAGCTGAAAATGGGCTATTTTTCTTAAGTGAGATTTAAGTGACTTGCTGACCTTGTCTCTCTCAAGGAAAGGGTAGGACCCTGCTGAGTGCACAGCTTTATCCACCTGAGCTTGGGCAGCAAGCTGCTGCCTCCCAGTTAAAAGCTATGAAACTGGAGCTTGCCTATAGTCTTTAACAGGTATTAAAATACAAATAGAGCTTTTCAGACCTATGTTTCCAGTATAACAGTGCTGGGAGCAGTACAATGCCAGTATCAGTACAGTGCAGCTGCCCAGAGAAGAGCACTAATGCTGTCCCAACACTGCACATCTCTGCAACTGCAGTAATTATATGGATCAGCACTATTCCAACAGAAGGCAAAGAAAATAATGAACTCCCATCTCTAGCTTTTGCAATGTTATTAGGGAGGTGATGTGCACTGTTGGCACTGCAGTAGAACAGATTATGGTGCTTGCCATAATATCTGTCATTATAATATTAGAAAATGTAAGAAGAATATAAAGTGTTCATCTTTCTAATGACAAGCTCCATCTTCAGAATGCAAACAACAGTAATTTTGTGTGATCTATCTTTTGTATTTTGAGCTTTATATCACAGCAGAAGACATGTTTATAGTCATCTTTTTCTAGTTTTAATGGAAAAAGTGAAGTTCCATATCCTTGAAAGATATAAGAGACGAATACTGCAAGAGGCATAATTGTACCCAACCTATCTTAAATAGCAGATGTCATTCTATTTCTGGGGGCATACCATTATTAGATTAATCAAAGCACTGTTATGCAGTGTTAAAGGAACATCAGCAGTACAGCCAAATATAAAATGAAATTGAAGTTACTGGTTTTGCTTCCTTTCCAGCTTTTCTGTTTCGTTTGGAGGATGGAGATGGTAGAGAGCAGCAATACCACTCTTGCACCTAGAGAAGGTTTATTTTTGACCCAGTTAACAAGGTGGCTTCAGATTAGTTATTTGGTCCTGACCCAGAGTGGCACCAAGCTGAGGTGTCTCCTGGCTTGTGGCTTTACCACAGAAGCTGACATTTGCTGACCTCAGTTACTCCACAGTGTTGGGGATACAACATTTATTACCTAACCTAAATATTAGGGGAGACCATCTCTACCCAGGCTGATGGTCTTACAGAACTCTATAAAGAGGAGGGTGGTGTGATAGTAAAGAATTCTGACTTTTGTTTCCATCTTGTCAGTCTGGCATCAAATACTGGCATATTTGCTGTAGGAGAAATAAAAAAGCAGAAAATAAAGATGGGGTTGGAAACACTATTTTTCTTTATGTCACCCCAGCAGAAGGAAAATAAATGAAACCCAAACATCTCTATCGCCTATAGAGGCCACAGTCATCTGTAGTGGGAGGTAGAGGGATGCCAGTTTGCTGCAAAGAAAAGGTTAAAAGGCAACTTGACCATATGGAGGGAAGATAAATGAAAGAGGAGGGCACTTTAATGTAGCAGATAATAGCATAAAAAATATCCAGCTGCTGGAAAATGAAAGGACACAAATTTAAATTAAACATAAGTGAGGGTAATTAACTACAGGAACCAGCTATTGAAGGAGGCAATAGATCTTTTTGTCAGGATTGGAAGCCTTTCTAAATATTTTATATGTAAAGTGCTGGCCTTAATTCAGAAATTCTGTGGGTTCTGTGCATAGGACAACCAAAGAGAAACCCAGAACATCAGGCACGTAGAAGTTGAATAGTCTTTGCATGTCCTTTAGGAATTACATTAGTTCAGGCTTGGGTTGGGTTTTTTTCAGGCACCATTCCTGTACAGTCGACAAAACCAGCCTATTAAATTTGATTTACTACTTTCAGCTTTTGCTGGTAAGCATTTCAGCTCACACACAGTTTTATTGACAGCTCTGAAAGGCTGAAATGAACCAGTCTGGATAGATTGGTCTGGTTTTGGTCTGGTTTTGGTGGTGCAATTCATTTATGAAGTTAAACTGATCAACCCCATAAGGTTTTAAAATGTATGACTCATGTCTGGATGAGCTATAACAGCAATAAGTTTATATATTTAGTATTTGGGCATCCAAATGGTTGGGGATATTCTTTCATTTTCTTTTGTTTCAGAGTGAATCACCAGCATGTAAAACATCTTCCTTCATCTCCTTTATTTTGTTCTTTTTGGTGTGGTTTCCCATGGTGTTTTCATCCATTCCAGTAATATTGAAGTTTTCTTTTGAGCAATGAAATAACATGTTCCATCAACAGTCATACTAATGAAGCTGAGTTGCCAGCTTATCTGTGTCCTTTCTATCCATGCACTTCAATAATTCCAGCCCCACCAGAACAACTGCACAATATTGCAGCTCTCTGGATGTCTCCTAATGCAAGCCAAGAGCCAGCATTAGGCCTGAAAAAAAACAACCCAAGAGCCAGCATTAGGCCTGAAAAAAACAACCCAAAAGCCAGCATTTGGTGTGGGTAAGTCTGTATTCCCATCCTTGCTGGATAAATGCAGAGTGAGTGTAAGATAAGCTCTCCTGTCTCATTTTCCATGAGCATTGAGTTGCCCAGTGCAAGATATTTAGAAATCAGTTGTTGCTGAGGTTTACATCCTTTTCTCAGGCTTTTTTGAAATTGGTCAATGGGCTCAGAACTGGGGAGGCAAGGAAGAAAGCACTGTCCAGTTGTTCCCTGACTGTCCCAGGACTTCAGCATCCCATGGCAGAGCACCTGCCTCTTCCAGAGAAGTTCTCTACTCTGGATGCAGTTATATATTTACTTTGCACATACAATTAACTGCAGCAACCATGCAAAACATTCAAATGATGGTTGGTGTGTACAGCTGTTAAACACACTGCCCATGGTGCAGGCAGGAGGTACGGTTTGTAGAAAAGTCTCTCACACAGGCAGGGAGAATCCAGGATTTTGATTCTCCAACTCAAAATTTATAAGCTTCTCCTGTTTGAGAGAAGCTGGCTAATTCTTTGCAGTAGTAAATCACACGTCCTTATCTCTGATCTCATATGTGGCCAGAATGTTACCCATTTGATCTT